TCATCACTCTCACTTAATTAGAACTAAAGTTATAGTGTCCCAAAGCATCAACCAATCAAATTGTTTATCTCTGCTTACCCTAAGCGGAACGGACAGACAAACAGACAGACGGACGAACCCATTTTAATAGTTCCCTGCTTTCTTCGAAAGGCGGGGGACAATAAGCATGAACATTTACTCAATTCGAAGATCAACCAATCAAATTGTTTATCTCTGCTTACCATAAGCGGAACGGACAGACAGACAAACAGACAGACGGACGAACCCATTTTAATAGTTCCCTGCTTTCTTCGAAAGGCGGGGGACAATCAAAGTAGGAGAGTTATTGTTTTCCAAAGTCTCGACCAATCAAATTGCGTATCACTCTGCTTACCCTGAGCAGAAAATGCTCATTATCAAACTTAGTCAAGGTATTACTGTAATGAAACTATACACCAAGTTTCATCAATCTCACTTAATTAGAACTAAAGTTATCGTGTCCCAAAGCATCAACCAATCAAATTGCTTATCTCTGCTTACCCTAAGCTGAAAATGCTCATCTTCGAACTCCATCAAGGCATTGACCTAATCAACACATACACCAAGTTTGAACATTCTAGCTCAATTAGGAAGAGAGTTATCGTGCCCCAAAGTATCAACCAATCAAATTGCTTATCTCTGCTTACCCTAAGCGGAAAATGCTCATCTTCGAACTCCATCAAGGCATTGACCTAATAAACACATACACCAAGTTTGAACATTCTAGCTCAATTAAAAGTTATCGTGTCCCAAAGCATCAACCAATCAAATTGCTTATCTCTGCTTACCCTAAGCGGAAAATGCTCATCTTCGAACTCCATCAAGGCATTGACCTAATCAACACATACACCAAGTTTGAACATTCTAGCCCAATTAGGAAGAGAGTTATCGTGTCCCAAAGCATCAACCAATCAAATTGCTTATCTCTGCTTACCCTAAGCGGAAAATGCTCATCTTCGAACTCCATCAAGGCATTGACCTAATAAACACATACACCAAGTTTGAACATTCTAGCTCAATTAGGAAGAGAGTTATTGTGTCCCAAAAAGTGTGACGGACAGACAGACGGACAGACAGAAGGACAGACAGACGGACAGACAGACAGACAGACAGACAGACGGACGAACCCATTTTAATAGTCCCCTGCTTTCTTCGAAAGGCGGGGGACAATAAAACTGAACCATGTGTTAGTCCTGAAATGACCTAGTGATATTTTTAGGCACATTATCAAATTTAAATAAATTATTATTAATCATCATAATTATTATTTCTACTGGGACTGATATTTTATTGTGATTAAAATCCATGTAATTTCTTGATTGCACTCTGACTTTAATTATAGCCTTACAACTACATTGTCCAAAATAATTTTCATAATTAGCATTAACTTCAAAGCGAGTAAATTACATCTTCAGGGGAGATAGTTACCGTGTGAATGTGGTTATCTACATGTACAGATGTTATTGATTTATCCTTCTCACCTTGAGGCATAATAATCATTTTAAATTGATTTAGTATGTAATATTATTCTATTGTGCTTCCTAATCCTATTGTTTGGAGTTGGTTATTTATTATTCCTCTATTCCTGTAGGACTAGTTTATTAACTGTACTATAACATACATGTATGAGATACATCTGTAAGCTACATGTACCTATGTTATTGATCTTTTACGTCTTTATCAAACTGATGAGGTCCATTTCTCAAAATTACTAATGAATGTTTTTTAACTGCTGTAAAATACATCTTGTCTAATGCCATAAGTATTGGTAGGGCCAGGTCTCAACATGCACATGGCTTAGTTGTAATAATCATACAGGCATACATATACGAGCTAGGCAGTGTATCAGGATTGTTATTGGCAATACATCAAAATTGTTTGTACATGTACATGTACTTTCTAAAAGATAGGTTACCAGGCAATGAAACATACGCCCACAGCAGCTAAGTCATCCTGGCAGTCAACAAGTGTTGTCGCATATTTTTTCTTTTGTCAGTAATGAGAATATTTATAACACATGAAAATCTGATTACGAGTAATAACCCATGAAGTAATTGTGAGAAAACATTAGAATTTGTTTCGATTGTTTGTCTCATGACCTTAAACAATTTATATTAACTTTAGCCTCAAGAGTGGATGAATGAATGAAATGGATTTTGAGCCTCTAGAGCGTCCGAAAGATGTTTCAAAGTAATCAAGGGCCTTAACTCTGTCAGTCATTATCGGAAATAGTTGAAAATGATTCTTTGTCTCATGATCTTAAACACTGCGTATAAGTTTAAAGTCAATCAGATATTACCTTTACCCTCAAGAGCTTCTACAAAAATTTTCGAAGACGTCAAGGGCTATAACTCCGGCAGTAATTATCGATCATAGTTGAAAATCCATAGGTTTCTTCATCTCATGACCTTAAACAGTGCATATAAATTTAGAATCAATTGGATATTAACTTTAGCCTCTAGAATCTCCACAAGATTTTTCAAAGTGATCAAGGGCCATAACTCTGGTAGTAATTATCTGTGAAAATCAATAGGCTTTTGCGTCTCATGACCTAAAACACTGTGCATAAATTGAAATTCAATCGGATATTAACTTTAGCCTCTAGAACATCCACAATATTTTTCAAATTGTTCAAGGGCCATAACTCTGGCAGTAATTATCAGACATTACTGAAAATCAATAGGCTTCTCATTACCTTAAACACTGTGTATAACTTTAAAGTCAATCAAATATTAACGTTAGCCTCTACAGTGTCCACAAGATATTTCTAAGTGATCAAGGGCCATAACTCTGTCAGTAATTATCGGAAATCGTTGAAAATCAATAGACGCCTTCGTCTCATGACCTTACACACTGTGCATAAATTGAAATTCAATCGGATATTAACTTTAGCCTCTAGATCATCCACAAGATTTTTCAAATTGTTCAAGGGCCATAACTTTGGCAGTAATTATCAGAAATCGCTGAAAATCAATAGCCTTCTCATTACCTTAAACATTTTGTATATAAATTTAAAGTAAATCTGATATTAACTTTAGCCTCTAAAGCATCCACAAGACTTTTCAAACATCCACAACACATGCTGCATATTCACATGATATTGTTATACTGAAGAACAATCTATACATTAGTAGTCTGTTTTGTATATTATAACTTTGGTGAGATTAACTCATCAATTAATTAGCACCTTAGTTAGTGCCAGCTAGTGGACGGGAGATTAAGATTGTTGATTGGGTAATCATCAAAGAGGCCGCCACAGCTGTACGCGTGTTCATTTAACACATGAATTAAAATAAGATTTTGCGTGTACAATAGGTCTATTATTATTTTCAGGTACCGTAACGTTATCAAAATATGAGTCCCTTCTAGAAATGTCAATTTCATAGTCAAGAAATGCTTATGTTCAATTTCGTGCATTTTGACTTTGATGTAATTAAACAATGGCAGACCCAAGAATCGTCGAATTTCGGCTCGTTGGTCGTTCTCATTTTTTCGACCCATGTTGATAAGAGAATTTTAAACAATCATATCAAATATGCATTCCGTACTTTGCATGCGTATGAAGAAGCGACAGTAAACGAAATTTAGCTATCAATAAAATTATCTTCGAAAAGAAAATTATTGGCCATTTTGTTTATTTTCATTTAAGGCCTATAAATTATTTTTTTAAAGACCGTATGAGATATCAAATAATCACCACTTGGATTAATTATTCGCAGTAAATAATGAGTTGTCGACGGCTTTATCATTGATCCGTGACAGTTGATTAGTACAGTAGACTTCGCATATAACGGACACTTCGTCTGCTATAAAGGGTGTCCGTTATACAAAACGATGATGGCATTATGCAAACCTCGGCAGATTCCGTTACTCTACATCTAGCCTCGGCTGTATGACGGTAAGTGATATGTACTACGTCTGTACAATTGCTATGCGGCACCGGTTTACTTATTAGGAGAACTTGCCGGTTTTAAAAAAAAGTTATCAAAATTGCGTCGTTCAAAGCGTGTGTAGAATTTTCGGTGCAAAGTTTTACTTGTTTCAAGAAAATCGGATAAATTTGAAAGAAAAACAACTTCAGACTTTGAAATATTTGTATGATAAAACACTCTTCAAAGGCGTACTGGAATCTGCTGAGGTTTGCCGAGTGACATTGTCAACTGTCAAATTTCTTAACAGGTACCTGGTAAACCCCTCCTGCAAAAATTCCTGGATCTGCCCCTGTTATACAATCAAATATTGCACACAAAAAAATATTTGGTCTATACTAAAGCCAGCTTCTGTTATTAAAATACAAGTAGCATCTCTTCCGGACTCCGGACACCTGTTACCACTGTTTGTCGTGTATTTTGTACACGAGGAGCAGTCCATTTGCTGATGACACTATTTTGCTTGAATACACTATTTTGCCTATAACGTTTTTTTGGGACTTCCAATTCAGTCTTACGGGTTGGATTGTACCTACTTGGTTTTATTTTATCTGAAAAGCTTGCAGATCATATTGATGCAATAAACATCTTATCTTATCTTAACTTTTCTTATCGGAACTGCGCATATTTAAACTATTTGTTTAAAACATACGTACTCGCTACGGTACAAAAATATAAACAATCGGCAACCAAAAGGTAATATTATATATAGGCTTATCAATTAACTGACGTCCTCTAAATAAAATGATCAATAAAATTATTATCTGCAACTTATTAGATACTATTATGCTATTATTAGTAACGTGTGGGTCTTTTTTTATTTGGCGCGAAGATGGTGAACATTTTGTAATGTTTGAAAACGTGAAACAAGCAATATAAACTCACGCGAATTTCGTTCTCATCAAAGTACACGATGTATTTTAAAATGTAGCATCAAAGAGTTGTTGCTAACACAAGGCGTTTTGATGATATAATTCCAGGTAATTTTCTCGGTGCCAACCAATCCTGCAACGCGCAGAAAGGATAAAATTAAGATAGATAAAGAAATCTTACCTGTCATCCGCGTGTCCGGAATCCCCCCATATTACATCCCTAAAACGGTAGCGAGGTGGGAGTGGAGGAACGCTATAAACTTCATCATCCGACATGACTAGAATTTTGTGACATTCCCATGAACTCAAATATTAATTCCATAGTTTATGTCATGTGTCAAAACCAAATATGATATTCGCTTGTTGTGAAAGGTACAAACGCCTCGTTATCAAAGCCATTGGCCTCGTTTTGGATTGTTGTAAAATGGCAGACGACACGAGTTAAGTTGGATTTTCTGATTCTTCGGTGTTGATAATTTGGCAAATGCAGGTAACAAGCATAACTTCTCAACATGGCTAACATTTAAAATAATTAATTTGCAGCATTTTATTAAATGACGACCGAAGGCGAAAGTGTGTTGTAATTGCAGTCTTAGTTTGTTGAAAAATTATACCATACTTATGATACTATAGTATCTATGACAGGAAATTTGCAACGTTGTATTACATTTACAGTGTCACATTACACTACGTACTTCTTCATATTTTAGGATATAATAATCCTATAACCCAGAATGGAATTACAAATACTTCTATGTATTATTATAATAACTCTCAAAAAAGTAACCATGTAGTATTTCTTAGGCTGCAGTATTCTCGATAAACGTGTGCGTTATAATTTCCAACGTTTTAATTAAAGGGGGAAAACTCCTGATAGACAGCCGTGTGATTCAACCATAAAAGTACATTGCTTGTCAATGAAAAGGATGAAATTGTTTGCATAATCAATTTTATTTGTAGGTATTATTTCATTAGATGAATTTATAGTCATCACATTTAAAACTAGTTTGAATGATTTAAAAATGCATATAATGAACAATGATAAATGTATACAAGATGTTGCAACATTCGTATATGAAATGTTTAAGAACAGACATGCAATACTATTTGTTATGTAAGGTCTAATATATACTTTACATGCATTAGTAATATAATTTAATATACTTTTAGAAACCTCTGTAAACCTTATTCTATGTTCTTGATGTTTATTATTGTATTGTATGCTTTAATTTACCATACTCGTGTATATACCATGCAGTTGTGTAATAAAGCATTATTATTATTATATTATTATTATTACTTAATTATTTTGTAAATCATAAAATTACGGATAAGTTTTCAATGGGCAAATGATTCCAAAAACTGTACTCATGTTGCCTTCCCCGCCCCCCACAATCGAACATCAAACATACTTTAAGTCTTGATATGTCATTTAAAGAGATAGGAATCCCTTGATAATACCTTATCGTGAAAGATGAATCTCTAATAATGGAGTGTCTATCAAATATCTGTTCAGTATGTTAACAAAGTTATCGATCTATGCCAGTTGCCCACCAATATTTTGTTGCGTACGTACAGAAATGATAGGCCTTTTTTTTGAAACCAATTAAATCCAAGGTGGGAGATTATTTCGATTTTGTTTTCTTGATTATATGTTAAATAATCAGTCTGAATACATATTTTAGTGTGCATTAAGCAGGAATTTTTTTTATAATTAGTGAAAATGAAAATGATGCATTAAACCTTTAAACTGTTTTAACAAAAGACAATATTTTTGTGGAAAAAATACAGTTGTCAGGTGTCATATGTAAACATATCTCACTACTGTCTCTTCAAAAACAATATTTTTATACGCCCACATTTTCATGTGGACATATATTGTCGTCGCCCCTGTCCGTCCATCTGGATGGCTGTCCACAATTTGTTTGTGGACACTCTACCTACAGGTCACAATTTTTACTTGATTTTGACGAAACTTCAAATATAAGTCTATCTCCCAAATATATTGTATCATAATAAACTTCATGGATTATGGCCCCAGATTGTACGAAAAATCACGTTTTTAACCTGTGGACACACTATAGAGGTCACAATTTTCATCTGATTTTGATGAAACTTGAAATGCATGTTTATAACCCAAAGAACTTGGTTCCTTTCGATATTTGCACATATCGGATTGTAACTTCCTGAATTATGGCCCCAGATTGTACGAAAAATCACGTTTTTAGATTGTGGTTCCTCTAGAGGTCACCATTATTACACTGTAATGGCGCTAGCTTTTGTATTTTGTCAAAATCTGGACACACTAGAGGTCACAATTTTCATCTGATTTTGATGAAACTTGAAATGCATGTTTATAACCCAAAGAACTTGGTTCCTTTCGATATTTGCACATATCGGATTGTTTCCTGAATTATGGCCCCAGATTGTACGAAAAATCACGCTTTTAGATTGTGGTTCCTCTAGAGGTCACCATTATTATTCGATTTAAAAACCTGTTTGAATATATCACCGTTACACTGTAATGGCGCTAGCTTTTGTATTTTGTCAAAATCTGACCAAAACTGCCTGACAAAATAGCTGCTCCTTGTACGCAAATAGTGTAAAGATGTGGAATATCGTGGACCCCCTAGGTCATAATTTTGATTCAATTTTTATGAAACTTAAAAAACATGTTTATAACCCAAAGATATGGGTTCCTTTCAAAATTTGTGCATACGGATCATAACTTCCTAAATTATGGCCCTTGATTGTAAGAAAAATCACATTTTTAGCTTGTATTCACAATTTTTATCTGATTTCAAAAACATTTGAATATATTACCGTTACACCCTAATAATGGCTGAATTCGAATTTCGAAATAATCGGACCAAATTTGCTGGACAAAATGGCCGCCCCTAGTACACAAATAGTGTAAATATATGGTATATCAAGGTTTGTGGACACTCTAGAGGCCACAATTTTGATCCGATTTTGATGAAAATCTTGAAATACATATTTATAACGCAAAGGTCTTTGTTCCTGTCGATATTCGCGCATATAGGAACATAACTTCCTGAATTATGGTCGCTTTTTGTTTTAGCTTGTGGTCCCTCTAGAGGTCACAATTTTTTTCCGATTTAATAAAACCGTTTAAATATATCACCGTTACACCCAAATGATGGTTGAGTTTGAATTTCGTGAAGATCGGATCAAAACTGCCAGACAAAGAGGCCGCCCTCATACGCAAATACATGTAGTGTATATATGGTAATTTAAGATTGTGGACCCTCTAGAGGCCACAATTTTGATACAATTCTGATGAAACTTGAAATACGTGTTTATAACCCAAAGATCTTGGTCCCTCTTGATATAAGCGCATATCAGATTGTAACTTCCTGAATTATGGCCCTCTAGAGGTCACAATTTTTATCCGATTGAAAAAAACGTTTGTATATTTCACCGTTACACCCTAATGACGGCTGAGTTCGAATTTCATGAAAATTAGACCAAAACTGCCGGGCGAAATGGCTGCCTCTCGTTTGCAAATAGTGTAAATATATGGTATATTAAGGTTATGGACCCTCTAGAAGTCACAATTTTGATCTGATTTTGATGAAACTTGAAAAATATCACTATAACCCAAAGATCTTAGTTCCTGTCAATATTCGTAACTTCCTGAATTATGGCCTTTGATTGCACAAAAAATTGCTTTTTGTTTTAACTTGTTCTCTATCCATTTCTTGCAAAATGTGGGCATATTCTAGCTGGCAGCCGCTGTTTTTTCATTGCAGTAGGTCAAAGGTGACCTCTCCTAAAAAGTGACGTCTGGGGAATACACACACACTTTAGACCTGTGCTGACCTGGCTGACTGACTGATCTATAAATAGGTAAATAACTAATTTATATAATTAGTAATACTTTATTTGGGTTCAAGCTATTTGTTTGGCATTGGCTTTTATATCATTAGCTCGGTGGCATATATGCCCGTCTTAATTAACCCAGTCGGAGCAGAACAGTAGGACGTTAAACCCCATTTCATTAGCTCGGTTAGTGCAGAATAGTTGGACGTTAAACCCCACTTCATTTACGTTACTCTCTAATTAGGTAGTCTTGGTTACCTAGATATATGTGTTTTTTATATGCCTACATTTTCATATGGAGGTATATTGTCGTTCCCCCTGTCAGTCCGTTCGGACATCCGTCCACAATTTGTTTGTAGACACTCTACAGGTCAATTTTTATTCGATTTTGACAAAACTTAAAATATAGGTCTATCTCCCAAAAATCGTGGTTTCTTTCGATATTGGCATATATCGTACCATAACCTCATGGATTATGGCCCCTGATTGTACGAAAAAACACGTTTTTAGCTTGTGGACACTCTAGAGGTCACAATTTTCATTTTATTTTGATGAAACTTGAAATACATGTTTATAACCCAAAGATCTTGTTTTCTGTCGATATTTGCACATATCAGATCTTAACTTCCTGAATTATGGCCCCTGATTGTTGCTGTAAGAGAAAAAGAAGGCTTAAATGATAATTGAGTAATTCTTAGCTTTTAATTTAAAGGATCAGAACCCCACACTCAACAGAGATTTAATCAGTATTATGAAGGAATTTCACCATTTGTTGGTTGAAGAAAAGAGTCTGATAATTATCAGAAATGAAGTTGAAAACTCGCATCATGGTGTTGGGAACACTTTTTTTCATACTGATCATAGTTTACAACATTCTGAATCACCATGCACCCAGTAAACATGATGACAGAGATATTACCCCGTTTGAGAAACCAGAATTAGATAAAGATGAAACGATAAAAGAAATGATAAAGAAATATAAACCGAACTATGATTATAAACTCAAAGGGTCCCCATGGACCCTGGCTGCATCTTGGGTCAGTGATAGGCAGATTCATCCAGAAGACATACCTGAACTTGGTGAGTATCATTTTTATGCTTTTATATTCCGCAAATGGACAACATCAACTACTGTCTGAACCATTGTAAATTTTAAACGGATTTCATCGATTATGAACAAACTACTTAACTGGTTATTATAAACTTACCTGTGTGTTTGAAATCAACTCCCATTAAATAAAATCCATTGCACAACTGATTATCTCAACGAATACAAAAGTCCTCTCTTGAAAAATTGAAATCCCACAAACTTTTGACACAGAAAAATACCAATATGGAAGCTGATTACGTCACTCTTCGGGAGATATCATTTCGTATAAGGGGTGACAGCATAGCAAATCGAAACGGTTTTCGGTACTTTTACGACAATTCAAGTTTGGTTTAAGAATAATCTATAAGCCTCGGCTCCGCATTGAGTTTGAGGTTTCACACACATAACTATCCGTATTCTTTTATTTTGTACCGTCTTTTACATTCTAGTAAAATCTCTGCATATTTTACAACTTTACCTTTTGAAATATTTTGTTATAATTATTTGAAACGGTTATTATTTGATCGAAAGAATGCTATCAAATTAACAATACACTCAGAGACTTCGGAGGTGAGCTTCATGATCCTTGTTAAATTATGACTTTATTTTTACAAATATCTGTGCAATCAGTGATATTTTCATTGTGAATAAAATTTGATAGACTGGCGATCAATGGTTTCAATATAAATCTCCTACAGTTCATATTTTTCGTTGCCCAAACTCGAACGATCGTAATGATCGCGCTTTGTTTTCATTGCAACACATGGTTGTCAAACTATCTGTCAAAATTAAACCACCCCCGCAACAGCTGCATTGGTTTCCCCCAAAACGTGATGAAAGCATTGTTGTCTTTCACTCAGTCGATATTACAAGTAAATAGTCAAATTTGTCAAGAGTGAAGTTTTTTTATTTGTTGGGATATTTAGTTGTGCAATGATTTTATTGAATGGGAGTTGATTTGAAACACACAGGTAAGTTTATAATAAACAAAGTTAAGTAGCTTGTTTATTATCGAAGAAATCCGTTTAAAATTTACGATGGTTCAGACAGTAAGTGCCACATTCAGGGTTATGATATAAATTCTTTCTTTTGCACAGATGTTTATCGAGGAAAAAGATATATGATGACTAAATTCTGAAACCTGTAAAGATTAAGCATACATATAATCAGTGTGTTGTTGTTAACATGTATTTTACAATGTGTGAATAATCCACAAAGGACAAATACCAATTAATGTACTGTATCAGATTAAACAATTACAAACAATGGATAATACAGAATTGCTGTATTGCAGTTGAGTAGAACAGACAGTTGACAAATATGTTAATGTATGTTAGTGCATCCTCGGTATCCCCAGTGGTCTCATTCTGTTCTACTCCACTAACCCCTGGGTTAATCTATGGAGGAGACACGTTTTCAAGTTATCTGCCCTTGATGATTGTGCTATTTTTATTGACTAATCCCATAAATCGCTAATTGCAAAGAAAGTTGGCAAAGGGAAGTAACTGTCATCGAGTAAAGTAAACGCAAAGACTCCACTTCAAGAGACAAGGTTAGGAATTAGCCAGAAGGTAGCCTAAATGAGAGAAGTCCAAATTATACTAAATGCCTATATATTAACAACAAATTATAATTATTATATATATATATATATGTTCAAGAGTTTTAATAAGAACGTTGTTGTTGTTCTTAGTGTTTATCTTAGCGCATGTGCAGGGGTCTTTCCTGTGGGAGGAAACCATTACAATTATTATATAATATATATATATATATATATATATATATATGTTCAAGAGTTTTAATGAGAACGTTGTTGTTGTTCTTAGTGTTTAACTTAGCGCATGCGCAGGGGTCTTTCCTGTGGGAGGAAACCATAGTACCCCGAGTAAACCCAAGAGGTTGAGAAGGCGCCCCTATCTCCAAGCCACATACGCTCAGACCTGGGATCGAAACCACAACTGCAAGCCAGAGGTCGAAGCGCGGCACTCTAGATGAGAATCAATGAGAATCAAATTGCCAAGTATAAGTTCAAAAATAATAAACATAACAGAATGAAACATTTCAGACAAAGAACAAATAGTAATAATAACAGTCGAACATATAGGTTGTCTACATATTTGAAATCAGCGAAACATACTACAGATTTTGATAATACAGTTAAATATAAATGAATTTTAAATATATAGCCTACATTATTTACATAAATCATTCAGTAAACTGTTTTTTGATTGGTTCATAGACTATAGCTACAATCAAGGTCAGGGCAGATAATTTTAAATCGTGGAAACCCTATGGATTAACCCAGGGTATAGAGTAGAATGGAATGAGACCACTGGGGATACCGAGGATGATGTTAGTGCTACCCTTAACTAGAGAATGTGTCATCAATACTACTAGATCTGTCAATATGGCAATGTTTTTAGTAATTGGTCAATTTTTTTTACGGTTAGAAATTAACTGTTGACGTCAATTCTATCCGTATTTTTTTTAGTTGGCAATTGATAATTTTCATCCGCCAATGATGTAACCAATACAATTTCTTTTAAACACTCTACGGATCAGAGTTCAGACAATTGTTTTTTCATCAAATTCGCAGGGGGTTGTTATTGGGTCATATAAGTATGGAACCTTGTCGTATAAAATGTTGGCTCGCTTACCTGGAGGTCATCGGGATTTTCCGACGTCGTCCTCCTTGTCAATGGTGCGGGACCGGTGGCCAGGCAAGGGACAATGTATAGCAGTTCGGATGGGATGAAAAAATAAGGCCCGTGTACAGTTGGAATTCAATATAAGAGTAGGCCGGGTAAAATTTCCCTCATAACATACTGTATGGCGTATGCCTGTCTTCATTAGCCCAATCTGAGCAAAACAGTAGGACGTTAAACCCCATTTCATTTCATTTTTATCAAAATTAAGAATTTTTTTTAATCAAATATGGCAGAGTTACTTCTCCATTATAGAAAACGTGAAAGTGCTTTTTAAAGCTAGATGAGATTGTTCTGTGAAAGTTATCGAGGTTCAGAAAATTTATCTCTCAATAATATTATACAATAATAGAACATACTTGTTCATTAGGACATAAGGAAGAACCATGTTGAATTTTTAAAAAAAATTGAGAATGTAAAGTTTGAAAGGATTTAGGAAGAACAGTATTGAGTTTTTAAAAATTGCAGATTGTAAATTTCGAAAGGATTTTGAAGAGTTTAAATTTGACTTATGAACACAATAAAAGTCTAAGATTTCAATGGAAATTTTTGAAACTTGGTAGGATTGTTCATTGGGGCATAGGATGAAACCTTAATTTTTCTATTTTTAATTTTAGAGCTAGCAGTTATAATAATAATAATAATAATAATAACATTTATATAGCGCTATTCCACACTGTGTAGTATGCTCATAGCGCTCAAGTCAATTCTGCAAAGTCTGAACAATATACTGTGTCATCTCATTACATATAGCGACGGAACAGATGTGTCTTCAGTGATGATTTAAAACTTGCTAGGGACGGACACTGTTTTAAGGAAGTTGGGAGTTTATTCCAATGGAAAGCAGCTTGATATGAAAATGTTCTTGCTCCAAAAGTTTTTAAATTGTATGTTGGTAATTGTAGTTGACAAGTGTTACTAGATCGAAGGTTTTTGACTGGTAAATGTTCGTTAACAAGTTCTTGAAGATAAACAGGTGCAGTCTTATAAACAGCTTGATAAGTTAGGCACAACAATTTGAATTCTATACGTTCATTAATACGAAGCCAATGAAGAGAGGATAAAACTGGAGATATGTGGTCACGGACTTTGGTTCTTGAGACTAGTCTGGCTGCTGAGTTTTGTATACGTTGGAGGCGTTTTGTTTGCTCATTGGTAATCCCAGATAACACACTGTTGCAATAGTCGAGGCGAGAGAGGATAAGACATCGGACGAGGGTAGCTGCAGCATCTGATGTTATAAAATGACGTATTGAGCCAATATTCCGAAGGTGGTAGTGACATGTTTTACACAGAAAACTGATGTGGTTTTCCATAGACAAATTCGTATCCATAATAACACCGAGGTTTTTGACGTATTTTGATGGATTGATGTAAGATTGTTCAATTTTTAAATGGGTTATGTCGCTCTTATGTAGTCTGCGTGTAGGGGCGATCAATAACAGTTCTGTTTTGTCCGAATTTAGTTTAAGCATATTGTTTGTCATCCAGCTTTTTACATCTGTCACACATGTTTCAATTTTTTCACAACAAGATAGTTGACTATTTTGTTCAGGGAGGAAAAAGTCCATGATCTGAGAGTCATCAGCATAAAAGTGGTGATTTAGATCCTTTTTAATGAGAAGATTGCTGAGTGACTTTGTGTACATACAGAAAATAATTGGTCCCAATACTGATCCCTGTGGTACACCACATGTAAGATCGACTGTGTTAGAAAAGGAGCTGTTAACCATAACTGCCTGTGTTCTACCTATTAAATATGATGAAAACCAGTTTAACACAAGGCCATTGATACCATACTCGGATTCCAGTCTGTTGAGTATTCTGCTATGATCCAGCGTATCAAAGGCAGCAGATAGATCAAGCAAAACGAGCATAGCGATGGAACCTTGGTCAACTCCACTTCGGATCGTATTGAAAACGTGGTTTAGAGCAGTTTCGGTACTGTGGTTGTTTCTGTAAGCTGACTGGTACTCGTACATTAAACTGTGATTTTGCATATGTTCCAACAGTTGTATTTTGACAACTTTTTCTAAGATTTTGGAGATAAATGGAAGGTTCGAAACAGGGCGATAATTTTTTAATACTTCCGACTCGAGAGATGGTTTCTTAAGTAAGGGCTTGATCAAAGCATGCTTGAATGGCTGTGGCACAAAACCAGAGTTTAAGCTGTTATTAATGATGGCTGTCAGGATAGGTAATAAAACATCCAATATTTTTAGCATAAAGCTGGTTGGAATTGGGTCTAAAACACAAGACGTTGGTTTTGAAGATAAAATAATTTT